CCACAAACGTCAAACGTTTTATAATACGGAGGTGGAGGGTGTTGTAAGTCAAAAGGTAAACACAGTGGGCTTTCATTTGCTGATATTCATTTTTATTTAATAAAGGTTATTTGATTAAAATTTAATATAAGGTAGTTTTCTGATTAGACCCTTGTTCATTTTTACTCAGTTTTTGGCTTTATTTAAAGTATTACATTTAAAATTATTTACCTTCTTTCCAAAATTTATAAACAAAAGCGTTTGTGAAAAGCCATTTATCTGATACAGGGTCTATCTGAGTCCAGTTAAACGGAGGGATCAAATTCGTCTTAATCAACCAGCCACCTCCAGGGCGAAGCTCCCCCACTGGGCCCCCAGGCCATGGGGCAGAGCCAGGGCAGGAGGGTGGGAGCTCATCTCACCTCGGGTGGGAGCCAAGGCCTCCTCCTCCTCCCCCTTCCCCTCCTGGAACCCACCAGCCCAAATCCCCTGACTGACGGGGCCCATAGCAACCCCCCTCTGCCAGAATGGGCGGGAGAGGCCGACCCCTTGGGGCTGAGAAATTAATTTGGTGTAAAAAAAAAAAAGATTTCCTTTTCCAGTCAAATTACATCTGCAGATAAGAATGAGCACCAGATACTGATGGCTGCAGACTCAAATGCTGGACAATCATGGTCTGGAGATGGTTTGACAGGCGGTCCCTTTGTTTCCCTCCCTCCCCTCCCTCCTGTCCTCCCCTCTTTTGCCTGTCTTGGCCTCCTGCACCCCCCCTCCCCACTGCCTTTGACGCCACCTCCGACTTTGTGCTTTTTCTCCTTTTTTTGCAACTTTTCATCAACTCAATGGAAAAATAATAGGTCCAATTGGCAAATGACACAAATCATGTTGTCATACAAATAGCTAATGTTAGAAGCAGCAATGAAATTTGAAATGATTTTGAGAGAGGAAATTGAATGGAACCAAGTAGAAAATAAATGCAGGTAACTCCTAAATTCCAAGGACAGGCCTCAAATGTTCTCCCGGCTTTTAAAAGAAGTCAGAACAGATGCAGAGAAGGGCAGTGAGACTGGAAATTGAGCACTACAAGGAGAAGGTGAGGACAGAGAGATGTTTAGTTTGGAAAGAGAAATGGCAAAGAGAATATACGATAGCGTTCTTCGGTTACCTGATGAGAAGCCAGGCAGGAGAAAAGAGAGACCTAATTCCCTCTGGTCCCAGCGTGCAGGATATGGAACAAGGCCTGGAGTTATAGGGAGGCCGACTCCCGTTGAATGGTAGAAGTATTTCCCAACAGAAAGAAGACCTGAAGAGCGGAGCCAAAGATTTAGGAAGGTTGTAGATGCAGGTTGGATTAATCGTCTTTATGCTTCTACTATTTTCATTGAAAATAAGTCAGGCTAAAGCAATGAATCAACAAGAGGCAGTTTTGGCTTTTAAGGATTTTGGTTTACTTACTAGTTTATTTACTTC